GTAAATGGAATTGTACAACTGACTTCTTAACACTCAGCATGATGCTTTCAAGGTTTATCCATGTTGTAGCCTATGTCAATATTACACTCCTTTTTATTGCTAAATAATATTCCTTTGTATGGATACACCACTTCTATTTATCCATTTATCAGTCAGTGGACATTTGGGTTGTCTCTACTTTTTAGCTATCATGAATAATGCTGCTGCGAACATTCGAGTACTAGTTTTTGTTTGAATGTATGGTTCATTCCTCTTGCGTGTATACTGAGGAGTGAGGTGCCCGAATCATATGGAATCTCTATTTTTAAGCTTTTGAGGAGCTGCCAAACCATTTTCCAAAGCAGCTGCACAACTGTTCACTCCCACCAGCAATGTGTGAGGGTTTCAATTTCTCCAAATCCTAACCAAAACTTGTAATTATTTATCTTTTTGGTTCTAATCCATCCTAGTGAGTAGGAGACGCTATATTTCACTGTGGTTTTGATTTGCATTTCCCTAATGGCCTGTAATGTTGAGCATCTTTGCACGTGCTTATTGGCCATTTATATACCTTCTTTGGAGAAATGGCTATTCAGATCCTTTGTCCGTTTGTAACCGAGTTATTTGTCTTTTTTATGATTGAGTTGTAAGAGCTCTTCATATACTCTGGATACCCATCCTTTCTCAGATATATGCTTTGCAAATATTTTCTCCCATTCTGTGGATTGTCTTTTTGCTTGCTTGATGGCATAATTTTTATCACAAAACTTTCTAATTTTTATGTAGTCCAATTTGTCTATTTTTCCCATTGGTTGGTTATGCCTTTGGTATCATGTCTAAGAAATTATTGCCTAATCCAAGGTCACAAAGAGTTACTCTCATGTTTTCTTCTAAGAGTTTTATATTTTATTTCTAATATTTAGCTCTCTAATCCATGTTGAATTAAACTTTATGTGTGGTGTGATGCAGGGGGCCCAGTTTCATTCTTTAGTATGTGGCTATCCATTGTCCCAAGACCATTTTTTGACGTCTTGCTGACCTCACGGTGTGCTCCCTGCTTCCTCTGCTGGACATGAACAACTAGGTACTTAGAGAGACCAAAGGTCTTCTGTATTCAGTGGTTGATACATATTGCTTACACCACTCTAGGCCTTGCTTTAATTGTATTAGAAAACATAAAATTGGAAGCAAAACTCTCACATATCACTTCCATTTCACAAAAGAAAATTAGTTAGGCTCAAATAATTCTCCATTCAGCACCAAGTTTTGGAGAAGAGGTTTTTGTTTTTATTTATGTCCAAATGCATTTGAAATATCTTTCTTCCTATATCTCTGTGGGCTATTTAACCAGATGAAGAATCCACACGGAGCTACAAAAATAAGTAGAAAATGAAAAACATCCATGGAGAATTAGTTTTCCTTGTCTATACAATAAATGCCCCTTGACTTGTTTGAACGGCTTTGCATCAGACAATAATTAGCAGGAAAGGACAGCATGGCTGGATGGCTTGACTTCCTGCAGAGGCAGCTTTTGCTCACAGGAGCTTTCTGATTCTTGTCATCACCCTCCTCTAGGGCAGGACCAGGCCAGGCCAGCTTGTCACCTGGGATGGGATTCCTGAGGCTTCATTTTCTCACTTGGCTTTTCCAATTGACTCTAGAGCTTCGAATTGAAAGGAACATTTTAGAACTTTCATCTGGACTTGGCAGGACTAAGTGAGCATCCCCTTAGCACCTGCCTTTGTTAGAATTAGGTTCATCTGTCTGAAACTGAGGCCCCCAAATAAAAGTGGTTTGCAGACTACCCAAGTTTATTTCTCTTTCATGTGCCCAGAGCTGATGGGATGGCTCTATACCACTGAATCTGGCATGGGGGTGGACTGCTCTGCCTCATCTACACAACTTAAGCTGCCAGGTGTCCAGCCATCACATCTGCATCCCGATAGCAGAAAGGAAGGACAGCAAAGAAGGGAATGCCCCTTCCCTTTAGGTACACTTTCTAGAAGTTGTACACCACTTCTAGGTTCAGGCTTTAGCTAGAACTTAGTCTCGAGGCCACACTTAGCTGTAAGCAATGCTGTGAAATGTAGTACTGTTATTGCAAGTGGACATGCACCTGGCTACAAATTGGGCTCTCTATCTTGAAGGAAGCAGAACAGAATTGATATTTGGGGGGAGTTTCTAGACTTCTCTGCTAGAGTCTGAGGTCACTCCGCCCCAAGAGTCAAGACACCTGTTTCCAATTTCAATTCTGCAAATTCTTCATCGGCCCAGGCGGAGAGTGGCTAGGGCAGTGTGCACAGGTGCTGCTTGCTCCGTGTACCCTGCTTCTTTTCTGCATTTTCGTGTACTAGCCTAGGATTTAGTGCAGAGAGGAAAATCGAGCTCTAGACACTGCCGGTAGGAAACCCCACATGGCTCAGAGTGTGGGGATTTCGCTACTTGAAATACGGTTGTACCCTCTCCACTTTCAAACGAAGATGCTGACATTGTTTCCAGAACAATTGCACTGTCCAGTCTAAGCAAGGGACCCACAAAAGTGTCAATTCACCGCATGTTGGCTTTTTTTTTTTTTTTTAACTAATTGTAACAAGTGGTTGCTGTGAAAACGCGGGCTTCCGAAGGCTGCCCTCACAGTGACCCATGCCCTGACCTGGACGGACCACCTTCTGTCCAAGAGAGGAAAAGTTTTGTTCTTAGATCAGATGAAACCCCGGCTTACCCCTGGTGGTCAGCGGGATTAATCAGACACCAGGAAAACAGCCGACAGAAACGCTGAACCAGCTCACATCATCTGCGCCCACATCGGGCGGCCACGTTGTTCCTCTGTTCCTCCAAGGGGCCTGTCTTTGTCCCTTTCTTTGCCCCAAGATGCAGTCCCTGCTTTCTGAGGCCTGCTTCCCTGCGCTTCTTAAAGGGAGACACTTGCAAGCTAGGAAGCTGCTGTTTTTTTAGGATCAATATGTTATTCCCCGGGGTGGGTTAGAAAACACAATGCCAGGGACAGCGTTTGCAGTCGGGGACTTGTAGAGGATTAGGCTGCTTCCCCGGGGTTTCCACAACCTAGACTGAAACCCTCGAGGAGGTTCATGTGCTTTAAGATGAACCAGCAGGCAAGTTGCCTTCAGTTTCGGGCCTTTGCAAAGTCAAATCTTCCCAACATGCAAGAAGCAACCCCTAACAACGAACTGTATTCAGATGTAGAGAAAGAACCATATTCAGATGCAGAGAAAGCGGGAAAGACAGCGAAAGAAAAATAAATTTCTGAAATTCCATGCAGGAGGTTCCTGTAGCAGGAGCCCTTCTGGAAGAATGCAAGCAGGAATCCTACCCGTACAGCGGTGTCCGTTCCAGAATTGAACTTTCCAACGCCAGTTCCTCCTCCACTACTTGCGGAGAGCCACTTCTCTCACTTGATCCTTGTTTGGATTTAGATTTTATTTTTTATTTCATTCTGTTTGCCGGGGCAAAAAGCAGAAAGCAAGGAAACCCACCTTTCTGCTAATAACTTAATATCAAATCTATTTTCATTCAGAGGGATTTCCCTCCAATTTTATTTTAAAACATGGTTGGGGGGGAAAAAGCAAGCTTAGATTGTTTTTGGTCCTAAACAGGGCTACTTCAAGTGTCCTTATCAACATCGTGGGGAGGGGGGAGGGCAGCGTAAAAGGGGAAGGATGGCCCTGAAATCTAGGATGGCTAAGAAGTGAAGACAAAGTATCACTCACCAGAGACTCTAACAGATAGTGCTGGGAGGGGAGACATGGTGACACCAGCAATGTTTGAGAACAGAAAGAGAAGACATGGGAAACGTCATCTCTAGCGAGGAAAGAATTTAGTGAATTTAAATCAGATGCCAAAGGAATCTTTATCGGGTCAAAAACAATTCACTTTTCTGATATGTGCTGCGGAGGAAGCGTTTCAAAGCAGGACAACCTTTACTTCCAAATGCCTTCTGCAGGCTGCCCCAGGACACAGCACCAATGCTATTAATCTTGACTTAGTGAATGAACGCATTATACGGATTTCAACCCAGACCTTCAAGTCTTAAAGAGTTCTGAAGAGCGCAGATAAAGCGACCCGTTTTTACTTTGCTGATCCCGCAGGGGTAACTCACTTTAATTCCCCTTTCATCTCCATGGGAGGACTCAGAACTCTAAAAGCAAACAGGTTTCCTTTTCTGGCTCCCGGAGAGAGGGCTTCTGTTGCTTTCTTCCTGCTGCAAGACTGAAGGTGGGTGACCGTGTTCATTTGTTACCTTGGAAGACGTGGAGAACCGGAAGTAAGTCTGAGATAATGGGCCCACAGTACGTGCCTCCCTTCTTTGCGAAAAGTTATCGCCCTTCCCAATGCCAGTTTGTTTTTTGATTTTCCACGGTCCAGCCTTGTGTTTAGCACAGAAAGCCACTTTAGAAGCTAGGACACTGGTAATAACCCCAAATGTACACAAGGACAAAGCAGAGGGCATGTCTCGTTTTGTGCTGTCAGGCAAATTATGACCTACGTTTTCTGCCAACACCACTACTTTTTTTCCCCCTGGATTGTTTATTGCAACACAAGCCTGTTTATTTGAGATTCTAAAATGCAATTAAATTTTCTTCGATAAGAGTGAGAGGAGAGCGCTTATTATGTAGATGTAAACTGTTTCAAATGGAAACACAACTCCCATTGTGAATAAAAAATGGGGAAAGCATTGAGGAAAATTATACCAGATTATTGAGGCTAAAGGAAAGATTGTATGCCTCTTGCTAGGGACCAGGAACTGTATGACAACAAACGACTAAGCCAGGATGCAGTGACGGCAGCATGGCTAGGTTCTGTCCAATCTGTACTGGAATGGTGACAACCATTCCCCAGCAGTGATCTGTCACCCAGGGGTTGCAAAACAGCTAAGGAGGAAGATGGCTCTAGTTTATTATGTTTTTACATAACATCAGAAGATGGGACATGAGGTTAGCACTTTTTTCCTAACAGGTTATCAAAAGACAACATATATAAAAACTGGTATGAAAATTGAGTGATGTTTTAATTGATGCCATATGTTTTGTTCTTCCGCATGTCCAAATGCCAGAATTGGCTAAGAAAAATAGAACTTGGAGCCTAAAAAGGAAAAAAAAAAGGTCTTAGTAAATAAATACAGTGACATCTCCCAGCTCTCAGTTTGATCTGTGTAACTGTTGTCATGCGGTATAAGAAGATTATAGGAATGGGGAAAAATGACAATAATCTTGCATTTTGAGTTATGGAGAAGAAACTTTTAAACTGTTAACATTTCTGAGAGAATAATAGGAAATTGAAAGCCAAATCACTAAACTATTGACCATGTTATGGATAAAAGTTAAAATGAATTCATTTCAGTTGAAAGAGGAAAAACTTGGTACTCCTGCTCATTGGCATGAAGCGACTTTACAATATGCATATTTTTACTCAAATAAAGGAATCTGTCCAATTTTTGGACCATAATTATGCAAGGGAACACCAAAATATGTAGACTAGGCAACAACGGAAAGATTTAGCTTTTGTCTGATTTTGTTTATCTCTGAAAGGCTTGTTTTTGATGTGAATTAATTGGATAGTCTAATGTGCTCCCTTTCTGTCCAGCAAAAATATCTGCGAATTAAATTATGTAAACAGTTTCCTCAAAAGCAGAAGTGTCGCTACACTGCCCTCCCCCACACATGAAACAGTCACATAGGAGCTGACAGAAGGAGTCGGCCGTGTGAATTTTTGCAAGGAGCAGGGCGCGTAGCCTCCTCTGGCCTGGATCTGAGAACAGCCCTGATGAGATGATGTACCAGAAACCAACACATCTGACCAAGAGGTCTCTGAAGTTGCAGCCTTTTGTATTTACACTTTTGAAATATCTCTATTGTGATGCAAATCTCGATTTTCAATCAAAATTGGCTAGGAAAAAAAAGAATCTTTCTCTGGAAACTGTTGTAGGAAGTAAGCCTAAATCTAAATTTTCTCTGTTCTGACTTCCTCTTAAGCCACAAAACAAATGTTATTAAACACCATACGCCTTTCACGAATGCTGATCGGAAGCTCAACTGTGTCAACTAGCACTTTTAATTAACCACAGTTTCAGTCCCAGAGGGCATTGAGTTTATGCATTATAAATGACCACAGCTTTTTTTTTTTCTTTCTTTCTTTCTAATTCGGGTGCCAATGTAAAAAGCATGTAAGAGCATTTTAGCTTTTGTCAACTGTTCAAAATCAAGTTCGTTTTAGAGAGTTCTCCCTTCTTAGCCTGGATTCTTTATGTAAGTCCAGATGAATGAAATGAAATGAAATACAAAAGGAACACGTTACCAATGGCTTGAGGCCCTCCCACTTTTATTTCCTTTTATTTTAAAAGAAGAACCTGGAAATATGGAATCCTCTCGAGCCTCCCCGAAAGTTTGAAGACATTTAGGCTGCAGGGATGCAGCCTTGTGGACGTCTTTGGGCTGCCTCCGGTTTGGAGGTTTGTGCGCGCATAAGCCTGTGTCTTTGACTGTCCCCTTCGGGATGGAGTTCTGAAGGAGCATTTCTCCTGCCAAAATACACACACAGCCTGGGATTAAAAGGGCTGAAACCTACCAGCAAGTTCTTAACGCCCTCCCACAATCATTAGACCAAATCCACCATCATTCTAGATTCATTTTTCCCTTATTCATCTGTCCAACTAATTCCTGCCGCATTCACCAGGCTTATATCTTAATCTTTTCTGTTACATAGAGAATACATAATGAAAAGCTGCATTTTCTGGGTACATGCACACATTTGGAGCGGATGAACCATATGCGAAGCGACATACAATGCTGAATGCCGGCTGAATGGTGTCCGGCGCTACAAACACCGCGGACGCAGGAACAAAAAGCCGGCGAACAAGAGGCAGTGCCAGGCTTGCCTCTGCTGGAACACCGGGGGACTCGCCGCGAAAACATGGGTATAATTTCACTGTTTTCACTCACACAAGCTGTGGGAAAGGAGTCACCATCTGATGTTTGATTGTGTGGGATATGTTTTTGGCAGTGGCCTTGTATTCCGCATTGACAAAAAAAAAAAAAAATAGAAAAAAAAGAAAGAAAAAAGAAAAAAGGGGGTGGGGTGGGGGGAGAGGGAGGGGGAAGGAAGAGAAGAAAGAATAGAGCTACATTTGCTGTTTTCAATTTGCTGTCTGGGGGACAGGCACAGCTGACAGCTCTGACCAGTGGCCACCTGAAAATGAGGGCCGGGGCTTGGCTGAGGTGCCCTCGGCCTGCGTGCCCGGGGCCCCCTTTTATGTGGAGGTACCACAAGGGGACTTTTATCCATCCTCCCCCGTCGGCTGGTTAACTGGCGACTGAGCTCTGGGGCTGACGTTTGCCTGATTTAATAAAGCCTTTTATCCAAGGGGGGGGGGGGGGGGAAAGGCCCACGTTTCTTGAGGAGGCATTTCCTGGAGCCGGTGAGGAAAAGAGCCAAGCTTCCAAAGGCTCCTGGGCACTGCTGGCCGCCCAGCTGCCAGGGCTTGGCAGGGGTCTCGCAGGAGGAGAAGCCCCCAGCTTGCGGGTTTCTCCTGTGGTTTGTTTGCGGGAGACTGACAGGGGCGTTAGATTCGCACCCGGGGTCTCCACCCCAAACGAAGTGTCCAGAAAGAGGTGTGTTGTTCTTCGCCTCCATCATCTAATCCTCACCAGGAATGCCAAATTTAGCAAATTAAACATGCAGGATGCCCAGCTACATTTGGATTTCGGAAAAACAATGAATACTAAACAATAATGTGCTGTTTACCTGCGATCCAATGTTAGCTGAGTGTCCCGTATTTTATCTGGAGGTCCTGCTCCCACCCGACCAGGCCTCCGGGGCGGGCCACCCCCAGCCCCTCACGATGGCATCCCCTGCCTGCATCTCAGGGTTTGAGAGGATAAGGAGAAAGGTGGGCAGCTGCTTTCCAGAAGGGTCATTAATTAGCCTTGCTGGCGAACATTGGTTCCTATGCCCGGGCTGTGCAAAAGGCCCTCCTCTTAACTTCCGGTTTAAGCTAGGCGACATCTCCGGTGATGCTACAGAGAGAGTTTGGTGTCATTCCCTCCTGCTCCCCAGACCCCCTTCTGTGACGGGTTTTGCATAATTTTTTCTGGCCCATGTTTTTAAATCAAATCAAACTTCCCAGTCCCGCACCCATTGCTTCTACTAGAGGCAAAGATAGTGTTTAACGGAAGAAGTGGGGGTAAAGCCACCTCCTCTCCAACGCGCATACTCTACGCCTACCTGGGATCCCGTCACATGCCGGGCCCCCGGCCCCCCACGTCCTTCACCAGTGCCACCAACTGTGGCCACAGCTCCTGTGCACAGGGACGCCGGATTGCCACTTTGATCACTGGTGTTTGTTAATAAGATGCTGAAGCCTAATTGGCCTCCAGGATTTGTCCCGAGGTGGGCACAATGCCCTGAGCTCCCATTTGTGGGCCCGTGAGGCATGTCTGATGAAGGGTAGTGAGGGAAAAAAGGGTTTCCCCTTTGTGAGTGGCAGGCGGGCCACCAGGGCGAGCTTCCTGGATGGCCGGTGCCAAGGCTGTGCTGTCTTTTATCCTCCAGGTGGGGAGGTGGGATCAGGTGAAGGCTTAAAAGCAGGTGACACCCTGCACCAACCAGGCCCAAGCTCTTAAGAGTAGATCTCAAAGGAGCCCTGCTCTTTTGAACACTCCCTTTGCTGGAAGACTGTGGCTTTCCTCACGTGGAGGAATTGCTCTCATTTTCAGACATGGTACAGGGGCATAATGGCCATTTGTAATGATCACATTAGCATCATGGAGCAATATATCTACAATAAATTAAGACTGCTTTGCAATTAGTACCGATGATCACAGCTGCGGAGACAAATGGCATATGTGCTAATTAAATAATTTGTCACTTGACTGTTAAACAAACAATTCAGCCTCTTTCTATTACAAACTGCCATCTCCAGAACACTGCCATGGGCCATTAACCCCGAGGAAGGAACAGCTTGCTGTGCCCACAACTGCTGGGGCGCGATGTCTGGACGGCCGGATAAAGGTGACAGGAAAAAATCCGCTTGGATTACGAGTTCCCTCAGACTTTGAAAGTTTTCTTGGAAAAATGAGTCCCAGGAGGACAAAACGAACTCTGCCCCTCGGAAAACATTTGGAAAGTAGCCCACCCCGGTGTTAAGGTTTCTAAGCTTCACTCCATGCGCCCGTATTGACGTGAGCATCGAATTGGTTACGACCAACAAAAACTGCATCACGTCGTATCTCCGCTTAATCTTGGGAGCTCAGCCACAACCTCCTCCCCATCTGCAACACCTTTGTACGGTTTTTCTTTTCTTTTTGACCGTTTTAGCATTTCCCACCCCAAATGCTAATCTATAAAGTGAATGGTGAAATATGGGCTTAACGGGGGCCGCTGCTAGCCCTTAGGATGGCTTCGTGTGAACTGAGGGGACTCAGCCCTGTACAGGAAGGGCACCAAGCTGGGCAAGCAGGGTGCAAGCTGGCTCTGTGTCCCTGTTCAACCCCTTGGTCCAGGGCCCTTGTGCAGTGAACAACCTGCCCAACCATACAGGCAGTCCTGTCTCAGTTGCCTCTGAAACCAGCGGAGGCTTGGGTAATTTAAAGCCACAGAAAACCCCGGAGCCAATTGTCACCATTACTCCTTTCTTCCTCACTCTTTTATCAGAGTTGTTAACTAAGGGAACTTGACTTCTTATTATTCCTTCTCTCCCTCATGTACAAGATCTTTGTATTCCTTCCCTCCCTCATGTACAAGAGGCAACATGGTCCGCCGGAAGGAGAAAGGCAAAACCGGAAGGCACTTTGTGTAGTCAGCCATTTGCAGATCCCTCCTCACGTGCTGCAATTCCAAGGAGCATCCTTCATGGGGGTGGTGTTGAGTATAATAAGGCACTTGTGATGTAGCAGTTTGGGGCAAAATACTCCGGCAGGGTTAAGTTCCACCAAAGTGGTTTTATTCAGGTCAATTTCTACCAGGCAGGAAAGGAGCTCCAAGCAAGCTCGAGCCTTCCCTCTTCCTGCAGGAAGGTGAATTCCTGGATAAAAATTTCACATTAGGTTTTAAGAGCTACTTTTCTGTGGAATTGTGGGAGCGGAAAGAGAAGCCAGTGTTTTATCTTTAAGGGAATCTGACCAAGTCAGCAAGTCGATGCGCTGCTCACCAAAAAGCTACTGTGTCTCTGTCCCAAAGTGAAATCTCAGTGTATCCCAGAGAGACTGGGGCATGGGGAACCTCTCAGTTAACATCACTTAGGTCAGAGCTGGGCACATGCTTAGTGCCCCATAAGAATTAGCTCCTGTTGTTGTTGCTCTAATTATTATAACTGAGTTTCGTATCATTGAGTGTCTTCGCCAGCACCTGTTAATATTGTCTCTTAGGTGTGTGCGGAGTAGGGGAAGGGGTTGCCCCTGGAGCAATGTTTCTATAGGAACTTTCGGGAAGCCCGTGCACATCTCAGGAAATGCAGGAGAGCACAGGAGGAGTTAAAAGGCTTTTGAAGCACTGACAGGTCACGAGATATTTTTCCTACAGCCTTACAAGAAGCATTATTCTCTGGCCTGCTCTGGAGAGGACAGCCTATTTTCCTAGGCAGTCTTCTGCCTTCTGGAACTGTAGGGAGCAGATTTCCATCTGCACAAGTGAGGCACAAGTGAGTTGGGAATCAGGAACCACCCAGACTAGCCAGCTGTCCTACAAGTGGGTGCAGAATTCTTAGGCTGCGAGCCAAGGGGGAGACCAAGTCATCCAAGCCTCTCTCTTCACCGGGGAGAAGAAATGGCAGTAGTGTGGGACACCAAGGACTCTAAGTCATCCTGTTCTTTTTCTTCTCTCTGTGTGTGGGGTTCCCCCTCCTGCTGGCCCCACTCCCTTTTCTGATCTAAGATGAAGGAATCCAAATGTTATTCTTTCCCCCTGCTATTAATTGGGATCCAGGAGTTTCCCCAAGCCATTTCCTTATTTATGGTGTGAAATATTTTTGCTGTGTAATCTTTCTGCCTCTTAAAGGAGATTTGTGGGGAAAGACCCGACTGGGCAAGGTCTTGCGTAGCCCCACAGAGCACAATGCAGGAAACTGAAAAGTTCATTACGGAAATAAAAGCTTAGAGTCCTGAAAAGCTTTCTGACAATTGCCCAATGACATCCAATCCTGGGGACACTCAAGACACCAGGTACCCACTCACCCCTGGGCCAACCGGTTAGACCACACCTTGTCTTTTAGGAAAATTAAATTTTCCTAAAAGGCCCCCGGTGGCCTGGATTAAATTAAGAATTTTAATAGTCAAAGCCATCTATTTATACTGCGTCTCTAAAGCATATCAATAAATGCATGTATAGCTTAGGGCATATTAAAATGTCCGGCCATACATTTCTAGAATCTTAAATATTGTCAGCACTTTAAAAATAACTTATTTTTTTAATCAAAATGCATTCCATCATTTGAAAAACAAATAGTACTTCCAGGGATTATAACAAATCAACACAGTTCTCTGCCTGCTTTTCTCTGAAATCTTCCACACCCCCGAAGCAACAAATTTCAACTATTCTGTTTTATTTTAGTTTTCCTGAAATTCACCTCCACATTTCTAGATGATACATTAATAGGATATTTCCTGGATTATATTTCCCAAGACCATTTTTATTAAGTTTTTTTTTAATTTAGCTATTCTATTTTAATTTTCAAGAATTCTTGTTCCCTTGACTGATCCATTTTTATATCCTCCTGTTCTTGTTTCGCAAACTAGTATCTTCTTTTATATTTCTGAAAAGGTTATAGTTCTTTAAAAAATGTTTACTTGTTGAAATGTTTACTGAATTGTCTCTGTTTCCTCTGGGCTCATTTTTGTTTGGTTGGTTTTATTGTTATCTTTCCTGTTGGAACTGTCCTCCAACGTGATTTTGGCAGTCGGTTTGTATTTAAGAGGGAGGTGACAGGCAGCTAAGTGTACCCGGGCACAGGCTTCACCCTGGAGGGCTGGGGCTGTGCCGTGGCTGCCGCCCACCAGCACCGAATCACCACCTGGCAGAGCTGCGTGATTATTGCTTTGTTGTGTGTCTTCTCCTGGTCTTGTTTGTGCAAGTTCCATTAATGTGAAGATGAGTTCACTTCATTCACTGCTACAGTCTCAGTGTCTAGGACAGTGCTTGACACATAATAAATGGTAAAAAAAAAAAAAAAAAAAAAACTTGAATGAACAAAGAATTGTGAAAAAAAGATATATACAGAACACAGAATGAATGGGAACCTAGGAAAGGGAAAAATTAATTTTGCCTTAGAGCGATGGCTAAGGTTTTTGGAAGACAAGTGATTTAACCAGGAACCTGAAGAATGATCACCTTCAGGCTAGAAAGAGGAGGAGAGAAAAACAGTCTGAAAGGAGGCACAAACATTTGACCTTCAGGGGCCTTAAAGACCATCCATCCAGCACTTTTCCGACTGAGGGCACTAACCATTTATAGACCATGAAATCAATTTAGTGGGCCTGCACCAGCATTTTAGAAAGATAGAAATATCAGACCGCACCCTAGATAGCTAGGGTGAGTTTGGTGAAATTTTATTTATTTCAGGAGTGTTTATATATATGCAGGGGTATGTGTGTGTGCGCGCCTACGAATGTGCCTGCAAGGTCGTAATGTAACATTTACTTTTTACTCTGGACACAAAAGGTTGGCAAACACTGTCCTGCAATCAACATCCCTCCAAATCCAGAGTTTCCCTCTCTAGTGACTATACACATCACCATGAGGATATTGACGAGAGCTCTCTGCTCACAGGGAAGCTCCTGACTATTGTACAGCATCGGCTGCTAGAAACCGCCCTGTAGCCTCTTCTCACCCAGAGAAATTATGTACATCAGCCCACTGTGCCTTTGTTTTTTATTTTGAAAATTTTTAAGTCATAGAAAAGTACACAGAATAACATGATAT